ATATATATATATATATATATATATATATATATATATATATATATTTTCAATATACAAACTATGACATATTTACTAAAAAGGGGGTCAAAGTATTAGAATATCTAGTTCTTGTAATAGCAATCTAAAGGCAAGGTATAGTGGCACATGCCTGTAATCCCACCACTAAAAAGGGTGAAGTAGTGAGATTGTGGAATGAAGGACTGCCTGGGTTATATAATGAGATATTTAAAAAAAAAATTAATTTAAAAATTATTAAAACTTACTGTCCATTTCCATCTTGAATATCTACAGCATTCTGTGGTTCTGCATTTCCTATTAATAACCGTAAGCATTCCGAATGACCATTTGTTGCTGTAAAGTAAAAAAATTTTAAATAATTTTTCCTCCTTGGTATGCATTGGTGTTTGACCTGCATGTCTTTGTGAGGGAGTTGAATCCACTGGATTTAGTTACAGTCACAGTTACATGTAAGCTGCCATGTGGGTGCTGGGAATTGAACCCAGGTCCTCTGGAAGAGCAGCCAGTGCTCTTGACCTCTGAGTCACCTCGCCAGCCCCCTTAAAATAATTTTAATATATACAATAAAACAAAAATATCTTAGAGTAAGTACATCTTTTAGAACATAATTTGGGGGCAATTCCACTGAATTCAATAAGCAGAAGGACAACTACGCATACAAAGTAAGTTTTATTCTGCATTTGTTGTTAAGGGACTCATTCCTGCACACAGCAAGCAGATGTACATTACCCCCCATCCCTTCATCCTCCCTCATGTTAACAGAATCCTCATTTTATTTATCGTGCCACTACAAAGAGTGACCTGTCTCTAGCTAAGGGTACAATCAAGTCAACCATGTTAGATTAAGGCAGTCACAGACCAAGTCAATCATATTAATCATATTTTGCTCTGACACAGAGGCAATGAAGAGTCTGGGGGACTGCTGACTGACATTGTGGAATCAACCAACTGTAGAACTGCACCACTCTCTAGGGTGAGACTAAACCCCAGTCAATTTAGGAAACGTTTGGTTAGGTGATTTATAGCTAAAAAGAATTCCAAATAGCATACACATACTAAATGACACATATTTTATCAAGAAATGTTTTTATATGCCCCAAAGCTTTACTGGCAAGTGGAAGAACAACCCCTCCACCTCAATAAGAAGCCTTTAAAATTTATCTCCTTCAAAATTCAGGTCCTGCCTTAAGTAATAAACTTGAAGTGTATGGAAATATTTAAGTGACACAATGATATAGAAAGGAAAGTCTTCCACTATTTCTAAGCCCCCCCCCAAAAGATAGACAGATAGATAGAAAATAGTAATGACAGAAAACTAGATGCCCAATTGTCTATAGTACTTTCTTTCTTTCTTTTTTTTTTTTTTTGAGACAGGGTCTCCTACAGCCTAGACAAGCCTCAAATTAACTGTTTATGAAAGAATGGCCCTGAACTCCTGATCTTTGTGCTTCTATCTGAAATTAAAAGTGAGTATCACTATACCATCTTTATATGGTACTGGGGATGGAACTTCTGACCTTTCTACTGAGATTATAAGCATGCAGCACTGTTCGACTTTTTATGTGGTACTGAAGTCAAATCCAGGGCTTCACATATGCTAGGCAAGCACTCAACCAGCTGAGCCTGTACAGCTCCTGCCTTTCTACAGTACTTCTTAACAGTTATATGAACTAGTAAGTTACAAAAACTTCTGACTCAAAACCACCCTCAATCTGTATGTTGCACTCTGGGAAGAGCTCTTAGCTTAGTAATAAACAAGTATCAAAATACTTAGGGATAGTTCAAAGAGATCTAATTTGGCCTATTATTAAAAAGTCAGTTCCTTTGCATTCAGTACCTAGCAGATACTGATGAGTATTTTTGTGTTCTAAGTTCAATAACCACAATACCACCATACTATCATTGTGAGAAAAGCATGTTAACCTTCAGGAAGCAGGGGGAATCTGTGCTTTTCCGATAGCATAGTAATAAGATGCTTCCTAAGAGATCTCTGAATGTGGAAGACATCTACAGAACCAGTTTCATTCAGTGTTTTTTCTTCTTTTTGATGGGTAGCACTTATGGTGCATTATATGGCAGAGTGTCTCAGTGCTCTTTATTTTTCAAGAACGCATATGAATTAGACTAGTGGCTGCCTGTACTCCTAGCACTTGAGAGGGAGGCTGGATCCAGGAAAACTGTCAGTTTGAAGCAGTCATGGGCTGTATACAGCGGAGTTCCAAGCCAGTTTAGGGTAATGAGACCATGTGTTGAAAAAAGAGGGAACGACAACGATGGCAGATGCTCCACTGAAAGCTCTAAACTGGTTCTGTAAATATGCTGTGGTTACAGTATCATTTTGTAGATAGATTTGTATGACTCCATTGTTTATTTTTTTTGAGACAGGGTTTCTTTGTGTAGGCCTGGCTGTCCTGGAACTCGCTCTACAGACCAGGATGGCCTCGAACTCAAGAGAGATCCTTTAGCCTCTGCCTCCTGAGGGCTGGAATTAAAGGCATGTGGCACCACTACCCAGCTGACTCCACTCTTATTTATAATAGAAAATGACCCCTTATTCATACTACTTGATAGTTTCTACAAACATCTTTATTAGAGAGAGTTTAAATACTCATTAAAATATCTGTCTCTAAGCCTTACCTGAATATCCAATAGTTTTTAAAAGCTGCTTTGGGAACAACAGGGAATTTTTTCTATATTTCTATAGTCTTCTAAAATGTATCTGTCCCCAAACAATACAAGTACAATTCAAGTCATATATTGAATGGTTTCTTAAGGATTACTTCATAAACACAAAGTGAACTGAATCAGATCACATAAAGATTGGAACTAAGAATAACACTTGACTATTATTTTTTAACTGTACTAGTCTTGGTTATTGAAAAAAAGTACTGTGCCTCGTAGTAAGTAATCCTTAAAAAGAATTGGGAAATTTGTGTCTTCTATTAATATACGGCTGGTACTAAGTCATTTCTATGATTGTTTTCTTCCCCCCTGCCAATCTTTTCCTGTATACCAATAACTTGGTTACACATCCCTGCATTTTTTAGTACACTGGCAAAATTATGAAACCACAACTTCGGAGCTCCAGTGGTGCAATCGGTTAGCGCGCAGTACTTTTATGAAACTACAACTTGGGGTAGTTCTTGCAGAAATTAACATTCTGTAAATTTTTTCTAAGAGTTTAATGCAATACAGCAGTAAAATAAATAAAAATGACTATTAGGTCTAGAGAGATGACTCAGTAGCTAAGAGAGCTTCTGCTCTTGCAAAGGACCCAGGTTTGATTTCTAATACTAACATGATGATTCACAATCATCCACAACTCCAGTCCTGGGGGATCTGACACTGTCTTCTGGCTTTCTCAAGCACCAGGCACACACGTGGCGCACACATACACACACACACACACACACACACACACACACACACACACACATATATGCAGGCAAAATATTCATACACATGAAATTCAAATAAGTCTTAAAAATAAAAAGATTCATTTTAAAAACATTAATAATTTGCTATGAAGGTACATGTTAATCTAAACTAACTTCCATTAGAAAGAAGTAAAAGATACTTGGGAAGTAGAGGTAGGCGGATCTCTGTGAATTCGAGGCCAGGCTAGTCTACAGAGCTAGTTCCAAGACAGCCAGGGCTACACAAAGAAACCCTGTCTCAAACAAAACAAAACAAAACACAACACAATGGAAAGGGAAGGAGGGAGGGATGGAAAGAGGGAAAAAGGAAGTAAAAGAACACTTAACTCTAGTGATAATCTAAATATCTTATTTCATAAATCCAATTCCAAAGGTATAGGATTTTTTAAAAGTGTTATTTTTCCTTCAGAATACAATCATTTGACTACTTAACATAAAAAGTAAACACAATTACCAGTAGCAGTATGAAAAAGTACATTAAGATTATAAACAGCATTATCAAGTATAATATTTGGCATACCTGCTGCATGGATAGGTGTTCTCTTCAAAACGTAATCTTTTACGAGGATTGAAGCTCCCTGATTAATGAGTACATCCACACATTCCACATGGCCCTTAAATGCCGCAAGATCTAAGGGTGTTCTACCACTACTATTTCTTACATCAAGATCTAACAAAGATTGTACCAACACTTCCAGGGCTTGGTGATGACCATGATAGGCCTAGAAATAAAAATATACAAAATAGAAAAAATAAAATAAAAAAATCCAGATGTCAATGGCACATACATTTACACTGGACCAGATACTGTACAGAGAATAAAGCAATAAGCTTCAAAGGATGACAAAGCAGTATTGTGAAAAATACCCAAAAATCGTGCTGGTGAACTGGCTCAGTGTGTAAGAGCACTTGTTCTGCAAGCCTGGTGACGTAAGTTCAATTTCCAGAACTCATGTAAGGGTAGGACAGAATCAAAATCATTCAGGAGATGGACTGAGGGTTCAGGGTGTCCATTTTAAAAGAAGGAAAGAAAAAGTCAGAAAGTACAAGCAAAGAGAGAGCAAAGCTTTGCTGATGTCTGTACTGAAAGTTTATCTACAAGCTTAACTATCTCAAAGATAAAGTGAGTGTAGACAATAGAATTCATTTTAGGATCACACCCAATTTTAATGGGTAATATTAAGTGGATGAACTCACGCTACTCCAAGAATGAGCTTTGAAGAATCTCATTTGGACACACAGAAGATAGTATTTAAAAAATAAATAAATAAAGAGAAAAGAAAATGAAGACCAGGAATCATGATGCTTTGGTATAGGGCTCTTCTCATCACTTCCTCTATGAGACCAAAGGAAAAAGCCTGTATGTCTAGTACCAACATTAGGAAGAAGTAACACTTTCCCTTAAGCCTTACTCCAGTGTCCGCTGTATCAGGTTGTCTGAAAACATGAGTTTAAATTAATAATAAAAGGAAAAAAAAACTATTTCAACTAATTTCTGAAATCCTCTTAGGATTAGCTATAAAATGTTAAAAATGCAATATAATCATGCTTCACTGAATTTAGTCATTAAATTGTATAACTATGTCCGTTTCAGTTTAGAAAAACCAACACAGCAGCACTTACACAGCCAAAGGATGAAGCAACGTTAAGTGTCCACTGATGAGCTGACTGAATAAACTGCAGTGCCCACATACAAGCTCAAAAGTGGAAGAACTGCTAAGGATGAACTTTGGGGAAAGTTTGTTAAATGAAATAAGACACTCAAAAAAAATTCAGAAGGGAAATACTGTATGGTTCCACTTAAATGTGGCATATAGAAATTAGTCAACAACTCTGAAAAATAAATATTTGGTTAAAATTTATGTAAAAATAAATAAGCACAACTGTCTCGTTAGCATGCAAATGTGCTTTATTGCTGTGTGTGTACCTATGTGGGTGGTATTTGTGTGTGTGTAGCAGTAGTTTTGCAAGCACATGGATGCACATGTCTGTGAAAGCCTAAGATGGGTGTAGAATATCTTTTCTCAATTGCTCTTCTCATTCTTTTGCTTGTTTTGTTGAGACAAGGTTTTGCTATGCAGGTTTGCCTGGACCAGGACTTGCTATGCAGACCAGGCTGGCCTTCACTTCAGAGATCCGCCTGCCTCTGCCTCCTGAGTGCTGGGATCAAAGGTGTGCCCCACCCTGGCTGGCTTTCACTTTCATTGTTTTGAGACAAGATCTCCAACTGAAAGCAGAGCTCATTGATTCGGCTAGGCTGACTGACAATGAACTTCAGGGATCCTCTAGTCACTGGGGTTATAAGCATGCCTTGCTTTTCACATGGGTTCAGGGGATCTGAACTCTGGTCCTCATGCTTTGCAAGCTAAAGGTGAAAGCCAGTAAGCAGCATTCCTCCTTGCCTTCACATCTGCTCCCACCTCCAGATTGCTCCTGTTTGAGTTCCTGCCCTGTCCTGTTTGAGTTCCTGCCCTGATTGCCTTCAATAATGAACTGTGGAAGTATAAACAAAATAACCTTTTCCTCTCTGTGGTGTTTTAAATGAGAATGGCCCCAGCAGACTCGGATGTTTTAAAGCTTGTTCCCCAGGTGGTGGACTACTAAGGAAAGATCAGGAGGTGTGGTCTAGCTGGAGGAGGTGAAGACCACACCGTGTTGGTTAAGTGGCCAAGCTTGTGGTTGGCCGGGCAGCCATGCCTAGAGATGTTGCAGTGGCAGAAGAATCACAAGCCCTGAGAGAGGGACAGGGAGAAGGAGAAGAAGAGGGAGAGTGCAGAGGGAGAGGGAGAGAACAAAGGGAGAGGGAGAGAGCAGAGGGAGAGAATACAGGAGAGTGCAGAAAAAGAGGGCACAGAGGGCACGCCCACTTTTTAGGCTGGGATGCCATCGCAGGCTGGTGATGTAATTAAGGACATAATCCTTACACACCAGGCCCAGTCTTGCCCTCTCTCTGGCTGCAGATCAGCACACAAGTTCTTAGCTACTGCTTAAGTGCCATGACTGACTGCCTGCCTGTCGCCATGCTCCCTGCCATGATGGCTCATGGACTAACCCTTTGAATCTGCAAGCAAATTCTCAATTAAGTGCTTTCTTCTACAAACTGCCTTGGTTATGGAGTCTCATCACAGCAATAGTAACAGTAACTAAGACATTCCCCCATTAGCTTTTGGTCATTGTTTTATCACAGCAATAGAAACCTTAACTAAGCCAGGCACCTTCTTATTTATTTAGATAACTAGAATGTAGTACTATGGTGGGGGAGAAGTGCACGGGGCAGAAAGATTGATTCAGTATGTCAGTGTTTGACCAAATATAAGGAGAATATTAAGATAAAAAGTTATAGAATACATGAAAAGAAATAAATGGATTACTGAACTTTTAGTGATCCTGTTAAATGAAGTACTATTCTTAACACCACATAAATAGCTAGTGATAAGTCTTGGCCTCTTGATGACCAAAGTCCTCTACTCAAATTTGTTTAAAAAAAATAAATTCTTTCAGTACAGAAGAGCTAAGATGGGTTTTACTTAGTATTTCCTAATCTCCTTGTCAGAGGAATCTGAAAATGGATGGGAAATTATGGAGCATGTCCCAAAATCAATGAGCAAGCGAAGTGGCACTGACTACGGTTAGCCAGCACCCATGTCCACAAGCAAGCCAACAACTGCTGGATTACAGAAAGTGCGTGGTTTATATAACCTGCTTAACAAACTGCAGTCCTTTTACTAGGGCAGCACATTTTTAAATTCATGTCAGATTCTCTCACTTAAAAGCAGAACTTGAGGAAGCCAAGGACAACCAGTTACAGGAAAGTAAGAAGCAGATAACCAGGAATGCACTAAAGAAGTTTCTGATTAAACAAGTTCTTCAAGTTGTAATTCCATGGTAATTACTATACCAATCGAATGTCTAGGGTACTAGTTTGAGTCAACACAAGTAGATACTAGAGATCTGTAGTGAAGCAGCCATCAAGTTGGCTATGAAGGCAGTACTTACAGCCAAATGTAGAGGGCTTATTGTTGCTCTATTATCTGAATCACTCAACATGTCTGTTCCCGAGGTTTCCATTAACTGAAAAAAGGAGAGGCGTTTAAAAATTTTAGAAACGATACTTTTAAATATAACATTAGTCGTTATCTCTCCTATCCCTCACTCCATTTTAGAGTATGTTAATAACTCAGCAAGCTCACAGAACAGGATAATCACAAAAGTATAGTAAGAATCAGATGTTTGGGGAAACATTCTTCCATCAGGTAAATATCTCCTCTTCCTGAACACACATTCTTGTTACTGTCTTTGGTCTCAGGGGTACTATGTGAAAACATGTCTAATTTTAGTTCTAATGAGAATAAAGAAAAAAACTATTTTGAATGTTAGAGGGGAATCAACTAGTACTTACAACATCCAAAGGAGTTTCACTTGCAATCTGAAATAAAAAAAAAAACACACACGACATTTTATGAAGTTACTTGCTGTGCAAGAATGTTCTTGTACATTGTCAAGATTTGTCACTCCTATTGACTTAGTAAAATGCTATGCTGATTGGCCAGGCAGGAGTGTAGATGGGGTGTCCAAACGAGGAGAAGCTGGCAAGAGGAAAGGCAGAGATGGAGTTGCCAGCCAGACACAGAGATAGTAGGATGAGAATGTTGGACTGAGAAAAGGTACCAAGGCATGTGGCTAAACATAGACAAGAATTATAGCTGTCTTTGGTCTCAGGGGTACTATGTGAAAACATGTCTAATTATAAAGGCAGTGGTGGTGCAAGCCTTTAATCCCAGCACTGGGGAGGCAGAGGCAGGTGGATCTCTGCGAGTTTGAGTCCAGCTTAGTCTACAGAGTGAGTTCCAGGACAGGCACTTGCCTTGAAAAAAAAAAAAAAAAGAAAAGGAAAAAAAAAAAAGAACTATGGGTTAATTTAAGCATAAGAACTAGTTAGTTACAAGCCTGAGCAGTTTATAATTAATATAAGTCTGTGTGTTTATTTGGGACTGAACGGCTACAGGACCATTTGACATCTTTATAGATATAGGGCTTTGTTAGTTCCTGTTTTAAACCCATGCTTTCTTTGTTTCCAGAAAAGAGGTCTTTTACACAGGTAATTAGACACTACAGTAGACAACAAATCTATATACGAAGCCTAAAATTTTATTCTAAAGATGTATAGTGTAAAGGAAGCTTTAACCTGAACAGGTTGTCACACAGGAGTATATTTTAACTCATTCCTTCTCTTCAGTTTGGCAAAGTATGGTTCTGAATGGTGTGTATATTCCAGGACAAGACCACAGTTGAAATCCAAGCTTCCTTTGCAGAAGCAGATTACCCTTTATTAAGAAGAACTGGGAAATAAAAGGACCTTGCAGAGTTCTCTAAACATATGAGGGAAACATAACTCTCTCAAGAGTCTTTTATTTTTTTTCAAGTAAGACATGGTTACAGCTTTAAAAAATATATATGGAAAACATTTATTTAAAAGGGTAGAATAAGTGCAATAGACCTAGATGTTGAATAATATGAGGATTTGAAGGCTGGTAGAGTATAGCTCAGTTGGTAGTGTGCTCATATGAACTAAATCCCCAGCACCACCTAAATTAGGTGTGATGGTGCATGCTCAGGATTCAGGACATGGAGGCTCAAAAGTTCAAGGTCATCCTCAGTTACATAGCTACTTTGAGGCCAGCCTTGATATGTGTGAGTGTCTCAAGAAACACAACTTTAGGAGCCTTCTTCAGAGACTGAACTGTTTTTTGAGGCAGTGACTCATTATGTTGTACTGGACTCAAGCCAGTGTCCTTCCTCAGCCTCCCAAGTAGGACTGCAGGGATGCACCACTGTGCCTGACTCTCCCTCTTAAGAGATTAAATGCCCCATCAATTAGACAATATCTCACCATAGCCCAGAACTTTCAGTATTCCTACCTTAGCTTCTTAAGGACTAGGATTATAGGTATGTCCTACCACATTAGTCTCAGTGATTGGATTTTTTTTTCCTTTTTCAAAAGGAAAATAGGGAATGAGAGTTATGTTACTGAAGCAACTATGGATTTAAGAGGTAAATAGAGTATGAAAATGTTAAAGAATAAAATTAAATGTTTCCTGGACCATTTAGTCTCATTTTAGTTATGTTACTAAACTAAAAACTCACACTAGTCCTGTCATGAGAACTCAGAAGTCTTACCAGTTGAAGACACAGACGGTGGCCATATGCAGCTGAGTAATGAACTGCATTGTATCCTTGCTTGTCCCGGATCCCGGGATTTGCATCATTTCTTAGTAAGTATTCCAGGCACCTACATACAATAACAGCAAAATGACAATTCCAAATTTTACATTTAAATACTTTATTATAAAAAATATCACACACACAAATCACATGCCAAAATTAACCAGATCTAAAGAAATACCATAAAACTCAATAAATTTTTCTATACTGTAGAATATGCCTTTACACTGTGTGGATGAATACATGTCAATGTGATTGGTTTAATAAAGAAGCTGACTGCCCTATAGCTAGGTAGGATAAGATTAGGCAGGAGAGCCAGACTAAGAGATTGCTGGGAAGGAGAGGAGTCTGAGAAGTCTCAAGGAGACACCATGAGATGCAAAGCGAACAGGATGGGAAGTACGTACATGAGTTAAAAGAGCCTCAGGGCAGCACATACATTAATAGAAATGGGTTAATTTAAGTTATAAGAGCTAGCTAAAAACAAGCTTGAGTTATCAGCCAAGCATTTATAATTAATAGTAAGTTTCTGTGTGGTTATTTGGGGAGTGGCTGGCGGGACAGAAAAGTCCTACACTATACAATAAGAATAACCATTCGGAATGAAAGCTGGAGCTTCACATTAGATTTTATATTTTTAGTACTGAATATATTTTTATATACTTATTCACCTACATTTTGTTTATTTATTTAATTGGGATGAAGTCTTTCTATGTAGATCTGGCTGTCCTAGAACTCTCTACGTAGACCAGGCTAATCCGATCTTCCTGCCTCTGCCTTTTACCATGCCTGGCCTTTCCACCTACATTTTAAATAAATGATTATATCCTGGTAATTTTTCTCTTGTCATTAAAATTTTTATATGCATGATTACAGAATATAAGTATTATATCTAAGATATAATTGCTTGTGTTTTTTGTTAATTTTGTCAGGCTTCTAACATGAAAGGGCTTTTTTACATAACTATTTGGGAAGTCTAAATGACCACTGGTTTCATACAATAGGACTATTTATATATGTCAGCACATCAGATAGTAAGTCTATTTATGGTCTTTACTACTTGTTAAAACTTGGCCCCAAAAGGTCTTTGAGTACTGACTTAACTGCCAACCCCACTCCCTCCTGTGAGATATCAAGGCAAGCGTGCGTGCGTGCGTGCGTGCGTGCGTGCCGTGTATAGGAAGTATTTACTCATTCAGATAATATGGATCAATATACACTCATAAGATAGCCAGAATCAGGTTACAGTTCTTGATAACTTAGCTCTCTAGTTTTAAAAAATATTTTAAATTATGTGTGTCTATGTGTAGGTGTGCACATTTGGATGCTAACCTTTGTTTCTATTTTTTTCAATTTATGTATATGGACACGAGTTGTGGCAGAGGTGCACACCCATGTATATGCAGAGTCCAGAGGAGGACACCTTACTACTCTCTGCCTTATTCCTTTGAGACAAGATTTCTCACTGAATCTGGAACTTTCAGCTAGGCTGGTGGCCAGCAAGCTCTAGTGATCCACATATCTCTGCCCTTAACCCCCAGTGCTGGTTACAGGTGTGTGTAGCCATGTCTAACTTTTGACATGGGTGCTAGGAATCCTAACTCAGGTTCTCATGCTGGCACAGCAAGCATTATTACCTACAAATCCATTTCCCCAGTTTCTAACCCTATTCCCTTACTGCTGAATGGCTTAAAACCACTTAGGCCTCTCAGGAATTACTTTCAGAACTTTTATACATTATAATACTCTCAATGGTAGCAAATACAATCCTTTCAAGCAGGAATTGCCTGATAATTTGAGTTCAATTGTCTGGTCCCCAAGTAGAAGGAAAATAGACTCCTGAAAATTATCTTGACTTACATATGTGCACTGTGGCATGTATGTTCATATCTACATACATATCATAATATACATTCACAGTAAATAGCAAAAGTTTTGTGTGTGTATGCACATGTATTTGGACATGGCTGTGTGTGTCATAGGAGGTATGTGGAAGTCAGAAGACAACCTTGGGCATCAGACCTTACTTCTACCATAGAGACTGTTTTCCTGTGGTTTGTGGCTATGTACCTCAGTCTAGCTGGCTAGGGAACTTCCAGGGGTTCTTCTGTATCTAATTCCCATCACAATGTACAAGTGTTAGAATTTCAGATGTCTACTACTAATCTGGATTTACATAGGTTCTGAGGTCAAGTGCTTTATTTACTGAGCCATCTCCCCAGCCTGAATTATATGGCTTTTTTTTTTTTTTTTTTTTTTTTTTTGAGACAGGGTTTCTCTGTGTAGCTTTGCGCCTGTCCTGGAACTCACCACTGCCTCTACCTCCTGAGTGCTGGGATTAAAGGCGTGCGCCACCACCACCTGGTGAATTACATGCATTTTAAAAAAAGGATTAAAAAAGTGAAAAACAAAAGATAGACTTTTATGTTAAATGTAACTTCCCAGAACTATTTTTTTAAAAGCATCTTTCCCTAGGAATCATTATTCTTAACATTTTTACTCTTTGCTGACTCACACATGGGAAAAACTAGAAACATGAAGATCTAATTTGCTGTTTTCACTGAGTTTATTTTAGTCTAAGAAGACAAATATTATATGGAGGCACTGCAAATGGATCTGGTAATGGGATTTCTTATGCCAGTTTATATCACTTATCCTTTTCTTCTCACCCATCACTTTTGACCAACATTTACTTGGTTTGCTATCAAATAATATTTATTTAAGCAATATGGACCTACTATATGTCAATCTCAGCACTCAGGAAGCAGAGGCATGCAGATCAATGAGCCTGAGGCCAGACTGGTCTACAGAGTGAGCTTCAGGACAACCAAGGCTACACAAAGAAACCCTGTAATGAAAAACCAAAAACCAAACAACAAACACTGTTCTGTAGGAAGAATAAGAAAAGATCATCTTCTATCAGATTTTTCAAGTAAGGGCCAGATGCTTGGGAGACAGCAACAGCTAGGATTTAATAATAATTATGAAATGTCTTTATTTTACACACTGTGGATTCAGGGAATGATAATCAAAATGTAAAAAGGAAATACACATTTGCAGTAGAACAGTCCCCACATGAAGATGCCAGTTTACAGGAACAACAATCCTCTTCTGCCCACACGTACTCACTTGCCATCTGTGTCTGACGTAGCTGCATAGTGCAGGGGTGTGCAGCCTCTTTCATCAAGGTCATTCACGCTTGCTCCTGACCCCACAAGAGCAAACAGGCACTGGTAATTGCAGTTGGCAGCAGCATAGTGCAGTGGAGATCTTTTGTGACCAAATCAACACAGGAAATACAAAAGCAAGGAATATACATTTGTAAACATAAGCACAGTGGACCCTTATTCCACACATGTAGTTACAATACAGTCTCACGTCAATCTCAACCTCTATATTCTGCTTAGAAACCTAAAAAGTTTCATTTTAATAAAGTTTACCTTACATACACTAACAAAAATGCCCCATAGTCCGTGTCTTGAGCAATAAAAGCAAAAGGAAAACACAAGACGCACACTGGAGTGGTTATTAAAACTCCACACCGACCTCAGCAGTAATACCAGCCAGCATTCTCAAGCATAAGCTAGGTGCAGTTTTACAGACTAACTTCCTGTTCAGAGGAGCTAATGTACCGTTTCAATCTCTAAAGACTTAGCAATCATAGCTACTTCCTCTCTGATTACTAAAATCACACAGAATGCTACTAAACATAGGAGTAACTATTTTAGAATGATAAAATTAAGATGATTCTATAATTTCATTAAACGAAAAACAAAAATTATAGTAAGTTCAGTTCAGAGTTCCTTACAGTTTATTTTTCCCCTCTAATACCTTTATCAGGAAAATGATACCAAAACATTATTTTTGCCTTACTGGATATTATAGTGTTTTCTGTTTATTAGTTTGAGACAGGGTCTCACTATGTAGCACTGGATGGTCTAGAACTCACACAGATCTACCTCCCCAATGCTAGAATTAAAAGCATGTGCCATGATGCTGAGCAATTACAGAGATTTTTAAAATGCAATTAACCCTGGAATTACAAAGCCTTTAAATTCTACTAGAAAATACTTCAAAAACCCTCTTTACTATTTGTTGCATGGAATGTGCAAATTACTACAAATAAAAATTCAGCTTTAAATTTCATTTTGTGGGCCATTTGTTCCCTCTATTAGTACATTTATGAACTCAATCTATTTTTCAAAGTATTATGGGGTCAAACATAGTTTTCTTCAATTCATTTCTTACTTCCTACCATACACTATCCTTTCTTTTCCTTCTGCATTGGTACTATCATATGCACCAATACACACCCACACATTTCCTTCTGATTTACTACACTCTTCCCATCACACAGTCTTACATAGTTTTTACCTGCTGACATATATCGCTTATACTGTCACCTACATCATTCAAATAAATTCAAACTGCATTTAATTCTTTCTTGAATGGTTTTAATGTACTTTGTGAGTCTAATCCTGCTTTAAGTAGAAACAGATAATAGAAACTTGAACTGCTATTACTACAAATGCTAGTAGTAATAAGGCTAGACAATGAGATTTTGTCCTTTTATTAAAGCTGTTTTCCTGCAGACTGTATTCAGTAGGTAATATGGATGTGTATGGGCAGGGGAATCACACATATATCTGTAACCTATTTTTTCCTTTAAGTAGTGGGAAGCAGGTATGGGAAGTATGAACTTTCACAAAAGAATGACTTAGAAAAATTCTAGGTACTATGAATTTTTTGAAGGCACTTTGGGACAAGAGAGTTTTACATTTCTATGCCATAATTATGGGAAAAGGACAATTAATATCAAGAAAGATAGGAATGGAGCTAGAGGGATGGCTCAGCAATTAAGCACACTGGCTGGCTTTTCCAGAAGACCTGAGTTCAATGCTCAGCCTTCACATGATGAGTTCACAATGATCTGTAACTCCAGTTCCAGGGGATTTGATGGTCCTCTTTTGGCCTCCAATGAGCATACAAGCAGGCAAAACACCTACACATACAAAATAAATTCTTTAAAAAATTAGGGGGGCAGGACAGAGGTAGCTAGGACTGTAGGGGGAACACAATTAAAAGACTGGGGTTAAGAACACTTAGAACCCACTGACTTCAGCTGGCTACTGTACACTTGCGTGCTCTTTTTCTTTTCCTTTTGGCAATGTTAGGGATCAAACCTAATCCTGTGCCTTTGAAAAGATAAGCCACAACCCTAGCTCTACTTCAGACTCAACTCATCCTGACTATAACTCAAAATATGCTGTGTAACACAAAGTTAAATTTCAGAAGTCAGTTAAAAGGTCAAGCAAGTCATTAAGTAGGGAAATTTTAACCTAGCTTTAAAGAGGAGCTATATCACAGATTACCTCCCAAATTTATCCTTTTTGTTGAAGTCTGCACCAGTATTCAGCAGAAGGTTTAGGCACTCCAAATTTCTAGTCAGGATAAAAAGAAAGTTTAAAAGTATAATTATCAATGATTTTATGATAAAAATGGTAGGCTTAAATAAGCATAAATGAATATTTCTAAATGAGAATTACTTTACATTTTATGAAGAATAAAACATTAAAATTCATTATATTTAGCACTTTAAAAAGTTATGTGCATACATACTGCCACACAGGAAATAAATGAATTATTTTACTGTAAAAAAGGAAGATCACTTTGTAAAAGATCCTAAGAACCAACACTTATATTTGAATGTCTTAAATTTAAGTGTTAAAATAATTAAAATGAACTAAAAACAAACAACAAAACATTCCTGTACCCTTAAAACACATAATAAGAAGTCAATTTACCCCACTGTCTCCTATTCAGACTGAACGTTGGTTAAAATTGTAGGAGATGCTTACATGCTTATTGTAACTCAATTTTTATATACCTGAACAACTGGGTACATTAGAATGAAAACTGTGCCTGCTGACTTCTGCAGGCAGGTTGCACACAGATTAGGTTTTAACGAAAACTCTGGTGACCTCAGAAGAACAAGGGAGTGAGTCACATGTGCTCTCAATGCATCTCTCTAACTTAGACCTGCCTGCTGGCAGTCTTGGTTCAGCAGACTTGTTCTTGGAAATAACAAGGAAATATTAAGGAATTATCATTAGAAATAAAGTGCTTACAAAAATGTCCTTTTTGATAAATCGTGAATTAAATGGCTTAACACAAATCTAAGTTATCAAAAGCATTAAGGTAAGAAAAAGCTTTCAGAGACCAGGAGTTCTAGTCATTCAGTAGAACTGACTAGCTGTCCCTAGAGAGCTTCTTAAAACGTAATCCTAACAAGGAGGGTGTTGTGTGCCTACAGTTCCAGCACTTCAGAGGCTGAGGTTGGGGACTGAGTGTTAAGCCAGCCTTGGCTACATAGCAAGACTCTTGTCTCAAAAATCAGGACACACACACACACACACACACACACACACACACACAAAAATAATATAAATGAAATTTAGTCTAAATGTTCTAATCACATTTCTTCTTCTGAGCCAAGACATAACTATTTCATCAACATTTTTTTTCTGAAGATGCAATTTTTAAAGTACCATTTACAGCAGAGTACATAGTATTATTTAGAACATTCACAATATTTTCAGTATTTTGAATATCCTCATCATTTCATGAACATTTTTCTTTGTTTAGGAATTATTTTCCCTTATAAAAATTAACACTTCCATTTGTAGGGTTTTTTGGGTAGGTTCTTTCCTACTTAATACTTATGACTTAGTTGAAAAAAGAATGGGGGGGGGGGGCACTACGACAGGGGAGGCAGGTGCTGGGAAGCAATTTTTGCTGCCCTGAACTTTCTTTTGTTAAATTCCAGGTAGGTTTCAGTTTCTATTTTGTGGGGACTCAGAACTAACATAGAGGGACAAAGAGATAGCCTCCATGACTGATGTTTGCCTGTCTATCTTTCTGGAATGAACCCAGGTGCTCTTGGGATACTAAGTGCATAACACTGACTTCCATAAAAGAAATAAAAATACTACTAACATACCCTCCAGCTGCAGCTGCATGTAGACAGGTCCTGCCAAAATCATCTGGGGTATCTATGTCAAATCCTGTAAGAATGAATATATATATATATATATATCTTCTCTCTTATATAATATTATAGATATATTTTAAGATAGTATTATCAAAAAATGTCACATATCACATTGTTCTTTTCAATCCCAAGCAAACCTACATATTCATAACAAGTACAAAATGAATAAAAAGGAACACTAGTAATGCACAATATTACAAAAAAATTCCATAAAGGTTAGGCAATTTTACAAGTGCTATATTGCTCGTCTGAAAGGCTATGCCAGGAGTGATGGCTCACACCTTCAGTCTCATATTCCCAGCTACACAGAAGACTAAGGCAGGAAGATCACTAAGACAAAGCTAGGAGTCTTGCTAGCCTTGGCACATGGTATAAAACCTGTTAAAATCAAGCAGGCAAACAAAACCACTCCAATTTCTAAAAGGCTGTAAGGTGCAACAAGGATAATAGTCAACAAGAAAAAAGAAATGAATAACAGACACAAACAGAACCCTTAAGGTCATGAAGTGTAAAAGGCCTGCCATAAAAGATTTTGTTAGGTAATTCTATAGAAATTACCCAGGAGTGATGACTAATACACCGCATTATGCTAATGGCATTTCTTTGATGGGAATTAAAGATGTTCACCAATGGATATAATTTATGGTTATATACCCACATGAACATATTATAAATACTGAACTGTATACAATAAATAAGTGAGCTTATAAGTGTATAGTACACAGATATCTCAATAAAGCATTTTTAGCCAGGCATGATAGTACACACCTGTTGTCTGAGCACTTGGGAAGCAGAAACAAGAGAATTGCAAGTTCAAGGTCAGCCTGGGCTTTACAGACTCTCCACTCATCATCTCCCTCCCTTCCAAAAAAAAAAAAAAGACATGTATTTTGTTCCATGTGGCTATTCTTAATACTGGGGAGAGATTTTTCATATTCCCTTTCATGCAAAGTGGGTGGGAATGGACAGTTTCACATGAATACTTGTTGATACAAACTTAAATAAAACAACAACAATAAAGTTACTCACATAAAAATGTATTGCACACCCCCACCAACAAAAATCCCCCAACCTCAGAAGAGTATCTGTCTCACTCTGTATTTTCAATAAAACCTCATTAATTAATTTCAGTAAACATGAATGTTAATATTTAACTCACATATATACTGTGAAATAGAAAGTAATTTAAAAACAATTAAATCCTATAGTCAGTAATTAATTGATCGCACTTAATAACAATCATAGTTAGCAGTAATACTGACAAAAATCCACATCAACTATAGTTATAGCATTTTCAACTATGTATTGGTAATGAATTAATAATTTCATAAGCCTATAAGATATTCATATTATGACTTAACTCTCAAAATGAAGACTCAAACCAATGAAACATGCCAAATAAGGTATTTTGCTTCTAGGACAAGTTAAATAGGACAAGTTAAGAAGACTACCATCACTAGATAGAAGCTGCTCTATAGACAGTCCACACCCCATGTCACCAACTAACAAAGGAAATCGTAAGAATAAAACATTTTGAACTGGGCAGTGGTGGTGCACGCCTTTAATCCTAGCACTTGGGAGGTAGAGGCAGGTGGTACTCTGTGAGTTCGAGGCCAGCCTGGGCTATGGAGTGAGTTCCAGGAAAGGTGCAAAGCTACACAAAGAATTCTCAGAGCTGATAACTGTAACCACAGAGAAGGAGAGGGAAGAGGCAGGAAGGCTGAGAGAGCATGTGAGCAAGCAAACAAAATGATCTGTGAAGGTTCCATTTACCTGAAGAAAGAAGTTTCCTGCAGCAGTCCGAAAAACCACTTAAGGCTGCCAAATGGAGTGGGAACATTCCATGTATACCACGCCTTAAATTAACAGGACAGAAACTTCATTAAACACATGAAAAATACAATAATATAAGTGTATTATAAAAACATTACTTACATAAAAATTAGTTGAATAGAAATCTCTTAATACTTGAGACAAAAATCTGGCCAGTCATTGAAAGGTGGCATAACTAACTACCCAGCTATGTTTTCCCAAAGCTTGTCTTTCTAACCTCAGTACTATCACCATTCTAGACTCACTGTCTACTTTATTTTTTTCAAGACAGGGTTTCTCTGGATAGCACTGGCCATCCTCGAATTCACAGAAACCCGCCAGCCTTTGCCTCCCAAGGGCTGGGGATTAAAGGTGTGCACCACAACCACCCAACAAGACTCACTGTGTATTTATGAGCTCTATATTCTAAAGTCAGATGCTCAACACCACCTTTGGGTTAACGTTTCTAGGTATTTGCTCAGGGAGCAAAACTTCTTCCCCATGTCACCTCCCCATTTAAAACCATTTCTGCAAGGTGCTGTGCTCAAGAGTGTTCATCTCAGTCATTTTGTAATGGTGAGAACTTGAAATCAACTTAATTATAAATAATTGAGAATATTTTATGTATCTTTATATAGTAAAATTAAATCCCATACAGTAAACTAGAGCTATCTATAGAAATCTGAAAAATCTTAAGCCTCTACACACATTGCTAAATCAACGATGTACATTTTTAAATTGCAAAGACCATGTGTACAATAGCATATCATCTATGAATACATAAAGCGTTTATATTTTGTTCATTAATACATATAAAGTGACATATAAGAATTAGAAACACCAATTTGATTATGGTTTTGACTTTTGCAGAACATATACAAAACAATTCATATTTTAAAAATTTATAGAGCAACTTTAATATGTATGGGGTTAGGGACCCCTTTGTATCAGCAACTAGGGACTCCTTGAGCTTTGCACAGCACAGTCTGAAACCACTATCTACAGATGGTCCAAGAAAAGCACTTGGTGTGTACAATATCTGTAACTTCTAGACTGAAAACAAAGGGATCATAAAAGTTAAATTTCTTATCAAAACTGTGTACTATTTATGCTGGAGAAAAAGGAAACAGAAATATAAAAATATGCCATTCTGGCTAATCAAACAAAATTATACATAAAACATATGAAATCTACCAGTGTCAAAATAAAAGATAAGAAAAAAAAGCAAACAAGCCAGTTCCTACAATGTTAAAGATGAAAACCATGCTCCCACTGGAAATCTCTAGAAAACCCCAGTCCACCTGCTTCTGTGATTCCCCAGATAGTGATCACCACCTCTGTAAGTATTACTTACTTTGCAGTGTCAGCACCACTTGTAATAAGAGTGTTGATTAGCAGCTCATGGCCATACCGGGCTGCTATATGCAAAGGGGTGTTTCCATTTTTATCTTCACAGTCAATTACAGCTCCTACAATAAAGGACACAGTGTCAGATACTAGATTATATACAGATTGGCCAATACTGTAAAATGCAATGTAATATGCTGTTTAAGCATAGACTAATAGATATAGAAATTCTAACTAATTTCATTCACAGTATATTTACTTGGGGTTACCAATTGCATATTTAAAAGTTTTGTGAATTGAGCATAGGATTTAAACACATTTTAAACTAACAGAAGGGTTCTAGGGCACAATGAGTCTGAAGACCACTATGCTAAAGACACTGCTTTAGAGCAGCACTTTAGAGCAGTCCTGTGCTTCATGAAGTCGACTGCTCATACACAGTACTTTAAAAATCTTTGGATCATGAATCTATTATTATTATTATTTTTCCCTTGCAGAACTCTAGCAACAAAAACCTAACAAAGGGTTCTTGGGGAGATGATCAGTGGGTAAAATGCCTGCTATTAAAATGAGGAACAGAACGCATATAAAGTTGGGGATGGTAGCGCCCATCTGTAAGTCAAATGCCCAAATAATGAGTTAGGAGGTGTGAATGAAAGAATCCGCAGAAGCCTGTGGGCCGACCAGTCTGCAGCTAACATCATAAAACTCTATCTTAAACAAGGCAGAAGGTAAAAACTAACATCCGATATTGTCCTCTGATCCCCACATGAACACGATAGCATTTGTATGCCTTTTTTTTTTGCTCTCTTTTTCATACACAATTCACCAGAGACACATAAAAGAATTTTTTTTTTTAATGCCAACAAGGGGCTGGAGATGGCTCATTGGTTAAAAGCATAGGATATTCTTCTAGAAGACCTGGGTTCACTTCCCAGCACTTAGATCAAAGTTTACAACTGTCTGTAACATAAGTCCCAGGGAATCTGACACTTTCTTCTGGTCATCATGGGCACCACATGCATGTGGTGCACAGCCATACATACATACAGGCAAATATTGATGTACATGAAATAAAAATAAATAAAATCTTAAAAAGAACAACAAAGCCTTTTAAAAAATTATATATTAGGGACTATTAACAAACAGTCCTTTAGAACATGGTCTAAGAAATACAGATTTACATTAATAGCCATAAAAATTATTTTATTTAAAAGTTTAATTTACTTAGTAATAATTCAAACACATGAGAATAAAGTGCAGAAAATAACCTAAAACCCTAAAAAGAGTTCGTTTCAAACACTCAAACAGGGAAAAATGAAAAATGCAACAAAGCAAATATTAATATATATCATTTAGAAAGGCAGTTTTCCAATTAGCAATATGGGGGGGGGGGGGAAGGTCAACACTAATTGCTATAGAAATAAAATTCATAGCTGGAAAAGGTGGTATAAGAGGAACATGAATTGAAGGCCAGCCAAAGCTATGCAGGGAGATTCCTCCCTTCCTATCTACTCAAAAGAGAAGAAATGAAATTAATAATTCAGAAGAATAGAAATAACTATGAATCATATATATATTCATAGTATTTTATCCTCTGCTGATTTTCAAGAGATCTGAATTAAAAATCTTAATAGTATACACAGTGCTATGGCAATTCCACAGTGCCATTCACTGAGTAGATTAAAAAAAAAAAAACTACATTGAAGAAATAAAGGAAACAAACAGAAATACTTTTTACCACTCTGGATAATGGTTTGTGATCTGGAGAATCTACCGTGGAGAGCAGTCATGTGTAGTGGGGTTTTCCCATCTTTACTCTGAAATAATGTAACAACAACAAAGTTTAATTACTATGCTGTACCAGAATATGCATCCCTCAGTTGTACTTTACATATCTTCTTATAAATTTTATAAATATTACTCAAGAATCAAATCTTCTGGACGTAAACCAGCTTTTCAAAGTATTAACTGGCTTTTTATTTTTATGTATATCAAATGAGTATCAACTGTATATCAAACCAAAAACATACAAAATTCCCCACACTTACTATTTATACAAATTCTGTATGGCGGTGTAAAGTATAATCTTAACATTCCTATTCTACAAGTAGAAAAATTAAAACATAGGATATTAAATGATTCAACCACGGGCACCATAATCCCAAGTGGAATAGTCACGATGTGCTTCCCAAGTTTAACATTCAAACTTTCACCTTGCACTGATGCTTTTGATTTTATGAAACCCAAAAACCTCCCATCTTTAGTTATTATAAATCATTTAAAAAAAAACCACTGTCTTAATTTGTTTATAATTAGTTGTAATCAATATTGTTAGCTATTTACTTGAATTAAAACAATCAGGCTGCCTGGCTGTGCATTTCTGTAGTTCAGAAGAAACTCCAAATGCAAAAAAAATGACTGACTTATGTGCTATTTTCTTCCTGGTTAAATGGTATTATTTTATCTCTACAATCGTGTGGTAGTTAAACTATACAAAGGAAAGAAACTGTTTGGCGCTCCTAATCCTTCAGCACTACTCGGTATGCCTTCTGTACATATACTGTAACAAATGTTCCAAGTTTGTATTAACCTTGTGAAACTTTTCACGCTATATGGGCATCAATAGTTATGGGATGTTTGAGTCTATAATTTTGCTACCTTGTTTTAGGACAGGCATTTGATGTCACCTAAAATTCACGACATAGCCCAAAATGGTTTTGAGCTTGTGGTCCTCCCGTCTCAGCCTCCCAAGTGCTGGGATTATAGGGACACGCTACCATGCCCAGCTTGTTTCTTTAATTTTGTGATTTTTTTTTTTAAAGCATAAACCATCTAGTAATCCTGAGGAATTTCTAATAATCTAGAAACATTGGAAAAAGGATGAGAAAGCATGTATGTATGCAGACTCCAGAACCACAGCAACATTAGTCAAAGAATCTCAGCTCTGACTCTTGAAACAAGAAATTGGACAAGTTGCTAACTTTCTTGAGCCTTTACTTCCTCAACTGAAAATGAGGACAATATTATCTACACCTTATAGGTCCGTTGCACAGTCTAAAACTGCTTACATAGCATACTTATACTTGTTATTTTATTCCTTTAACTAGGAGGGAAAAAAAGCACAAAGGTGTTTAACAAAAGCATTCTAGTTTTATGTTTTCAAAAGTGTTCACTATGTGGTAAATTCCAACTCAGTGTTGATATTTATAGCCATTTTTTTTATAGACAAGAAGCAAAGTGAATAAAAATGTATAATGAAAACAGGATTCATAATACAGTGAAATATGAAAGATATAACTAGGCTGGGCGGTGGTGGCGAATGCCTTTAATCCCAGCACTCGGGAGGCAGAGGCAGGAGGATCTCTGTGAGTTCGAGGCCAGCCTGGTCTTCAAAGCGAGTTCCAGGGAAGGCACAAAACTACACAGAGAAACCCTGTCTCGAAAACACACACAAAAAAAGAGAAAGATATAACTTCAGTTAACATTTTTAAGTATTGTAAATATGTTTTAGGTATAATTTTGAAATAGTTCATATATGCCAGTCATTTAATCCTCACAACCCTATGAGATAAACACTATTATTTTTAGGCCAGTAAGATGGCCTACTGGGAAAAACAGCTTGCTGCCAAGTCTGATTGTTAGAATTCTGCCCTCACTCCAGCTGCATGACTGCACATGCGCAGTTCAGTAGTTAACTAAAGGGTCTTGCGTCTTAGTCATCAGTGTGTGCTGGTGATCACGTACATTCAGTGTGGTCCCACAATCTGCGCATGTGTGGCGTGGCTCTGTAAGCCCATCTTGCGCCTTAAAGAGCCATGACTCAGACCCTGTCCTCTCTCTCTCCCCCCTCCATCTCCCCTCTCTCTGCACGTGCTTCCCTCCCCAGGCCTGGTTCTCTTGTCTTCGCGCCCCACTCCCCCAATAAAGCTCTAAAATAATACTGGGTTCTGTCGTGACCGTGACCTTTTTGTGCTTCATTTCACTGATGAGTTCAGTTTGATCTCTGGATACACATGGTGGAAGAAGAGACCTAATCCTGCAAGTTGTCCTTTAACCTCCACATGCATGAACACATACACACACACTTTTAAGTATACAAATATAAAAATCTGGTGTAAAAATACACTATTATTTCTGTTTTATAAGTGAGGAAACATACAGCCTGAGATGAAAGAATTTTACTTTGTCTTCTAGCCCATAAGAAATGGAATTGTGGGACTGGAGAGATGGCTCTGTGGTTAAGAGCACAGACTGCTCTTACAGGTCATGAGTTCAATTCCTAGCACCCACATGGCAGCTTACATCTGTCTGTAACTACAAGATCTGACACCCCCACACAGACATGCATACAGGCAGAACAACAATGCACATAAAATAAAAATAAATTATTAAAAAAAGGAAATGGGCTTGTATAAGCATACAGAAAACATTAAAATATTTTTACTTTCTATATACTATTATAGAAGGTATTCTTAAATATTCCAAGGAAGAAGAGATTAAGATTACCAGTTGAAAAATATACCTTAACACCAGTAGGAGAGCATATTTATTTCTCTTTGAAATGGAGAAAAATACAGAGATTGTTTTTAATCATCTAAAATCATATTAGAATGGAGCTAGGAGTTAATTTTTTTACATCTATTTATGTATTATTTATTTTGTGCATATATGTACATGTGTCACAGTGTGGAGGTCAGAAGCCAACTTGCAGGATTATAACTTCCATTATGTGGGCTCCAGGGATCAAATTCAGGTTGTGAGGCTTGGCAGCAAGTGCCCTGATCCGCTGAGCCTTCTTGCCAGCAAATAAACCAACATTCTAGGAGCTGTTATCAGAAGCCAGTAATAACAAAAGTCACAGATTTTATAGTAGTTTTACGCTTAAACTTTAGTGATATTTTTTAGTTGAAAAATTTATTCTTTTATTTTATTTATTTTTTTAGACAGAGTCTCTCTACATAGTGCTGGCTGTCCTGGAACTCACTCTGTAGACCAGGCTGGCCTTGAACTCACAGATCTGCCTGCCTCTGCCTCCCGAGTATCACCTTGCCCAGCACGAAAATTATTATTATTTTTTTTTGAGGAGGGGGGACGGACAGTTTCTCTGTGTAGCACTGGTAGACCAGGCTGACCTCAAATTCACAGATCCACCTGCCTCTGCCTCCTGAGTGCTGGGATTAAAGTCCAGGTGAAAAATTTATTCTTAAGGATGAACAGAGCATTTGGTCTTGTACACAATTTCAGCACTCAAGAGGCTGAAGCAGGAAGAGCACTGAGTCTGAGGTCATGCTGGGGTATGTAGTAAGAAAAGTGTCTCAAAGACAGTCAGGCATTGTGGTTATACTCACATATAAATAATCCCAGCATTTATGATGTAGATATATGCAAGGCCAACCTCGGCATATAGCAAGTTAAAGGCCACTCTGGACTACATGAGAGTCTGTCTCCAGAAACAGGGAGGAAAATTGTTTTTGTTAGGGCTACTATTGCTGTGGTGAAGCTGTTAGGATTCTGCCCTCACTCCAACTACATGATGGATCTACTTCAGGCTTTCTCTGTCTCACCAGCATCCTGTCAGACACAAAAGCGGACAGAGTGCCAATCCAAGAGGGATGGACGGCTCCAGGGCAGCAGGACAGCCTTACCCACCATCCCAGGATGCCTGTCTACCTCAGAAGGCCCCCTTTCCTACCCTCCCCAAGAGGCAACCAACGCCCACGAAGTCAGCTGGAAGCAGTTTTTCCAGGAGAAACGATGCCCCTATTCCTATTCACTTGCTTTTTTATAATAAGCAAAAAGTCTGGAATGTTAGGATTCTGCCCTCACTCCAGCTACATGACTGCATGTGCGCAGTTCCAGGTCATCAGTGTGCGCTGGCGACTACATACACACCTTAAAAGCTGGACGCAGACCCCACCCTCTCTCTGCTCTGCTCCCCTCTCACCCACCCCACCATCTTTCTCTCTGTCCTGGCCTGGCTCTCCTCTCTCCCTTCCCCCTTTTCCCTCCTAAGAAAGCTCTGAAGACTAACAATGGGTTCTGTCGTGACTGTGATCTTTCCACGCGGTAACCAGTGCCGCAACCAGCACCGTGTATCATCCTTTCAGAACCACCATTCCCAAAACTTGGGAGAAATTGGTTTATTTATTCAGTTTACATTTTCACAGCACTGTTTATCATCGACAAAGTCAGGACAGGAACCTGGAGGCAAGAGCTGATGCAGAAGCCAAGGAGGGTGCTGCTTATGGGTTTGCTTCCCCTAGCTTGCTCAGCCTCCTACAGGACCCAGGACCACCGGCCCAGGCATGGCAACACCCACAGTGGGCTGGGCCCTCCCCCATCAATCACAAGTTAAGAAAATGCCTCACAGCAGTATCTTCTGGAGGCATTTTCTCCAGTGAGGTTCCTTCCTTTCAGATAACTACAGCTTATGTCAGGTTGACATGACACTAGCCAGCACAGGAAGAAGGGAAGGAAGGGAGCCATATGGAAATTATGGAATAACACGGCAAGCAGGAGAAGGTGTGTATGTATGCAACCAAAGCAGTCAATGTAGTCAGGCTCACAGTAAGAAAGTTATAAAAACAAGACCATAATTATGTTTTAAAGCCCATTCACTTACTTCTACTGCTCTTGTAAAGATCAAATGTTTAGAAAGTGAATTATTATAAATTTAAATTCAATTTCTATATTTACAAGTTAAGGTTAGGAACAACAAAACAGAGAGAAGGGTAGAGAGAACAGCAGTAGCAGGGAGGGAGTAAATGATCAGTAAAATGGTTTCCCTAACAGGTCAAATGTTAAGGATGTGGTCAATAAACAGTGACTTGACAAATACAGGAAATACAAGTCACTGAGACTTAATATCCTTGTTGGTTGAAAACCTAGAGCCATCAATAATCTTTGTACAATTTCACAGCAAGGTGGAACTTCAGAAGTCAAAACCTAAGAAACATACTTCAATGTAACTCAGTACTAATATAATTCAGACAACTGAATTTAAAGGGCTATTATACATTGTTAGGCAAGTTTTAGATATCTAGTGTAGGCTTCAAATCTGCTTAATCACCATGTGATGTATACGCCACCACCAGGCGATGTTTTGTTTTTAATTGAGATAGGGTGGGCTCAAAATCACCATCCTCCTGCCTTAGCTCCCAAGTGTTAGAATTACAGTGTCTGCCATTATGCTTATCTTTAAATGTATACATTGTGTATCTGTTTGTGTGTGCAAATTAGTGGAAATGTGCAAGCACATGGAGGCCAAAGAACAACACTGGGCTGTGCCTCAGGAGCCACCCACTTTGTTTTTAAGAGAAGGTTTATCAGTGGCTGCTAGGCAAGCCACTGTACTGAGTATTTCCATAACCCTTAAAGGTAAATTCTTTAAAAGGATAGTTTAGGGGCTGGAGACGGCTCAGCATTTAAGAATACCTGCGACCCCAGTCTGACTCCCAGCCCCCACATGGTGACTCACAATTGTAACTCCAGTTCCAGGGATCTGACTCCCACTTCTGACCTCCACGGGCACCAGGCATGTATATAAGCAAAATATCCATACACATAAAATAGTAATTTACAATTTAAAAGAACTTTAAAAAGACAGTTTAGCTCAAAGCATAATAGAGGCTCTTAATGATACTTTCTGGTCTTCCTTCCCTGAGTATGAATTAAATAAATTTGTCCCTCAGTTGAGAGAGAAAAGAATGAACTAACTCCCACTAGACTTAATGCTGCTTCACTTCTCTTGTGTAGGTTAGTGTTCTCAATTAAGAAAGGCAGTGCTCATTCACGTTCAAAAGGAGCAGAAATTCTCTATAAACAGTATTTGTAAGCTTACATATTTCTACTAATCCTATATGATTCAAATTTGATTGATTGTGGCTTTCTTGGTAACACAAGATGGGGTTTGTCAAGTACTGTAAATGATGAATGATACAGGAGCAAACTAAAAAACTTTTTAACAATGTAAAATAATTATATACTATGAAATAATAATGCTTAAAATCTTGGTTACCTGTGTTTTTCACAGTATTACACAGTGAAAATAAATTTGACTCCTGAATTTTAACGTATTTCTAAAATGCTTACTGCTGAAAGCAATTATGAACAAGAAGCCAAATGACTGTTCTTTACGTGTAAATACAGATATTATTTCTACCCTAACACCATGAAAAATTTTATAACAGAAATTTCAGAAAAGAAACCAGTTTCAAAACAGTATTATAGCATGAATATCCATATACATATGTGGACTCTACCACCAACATTTTACTCCATGTTTTTCATCATATTATCGATACAATTATTTGATGCTTTAGAGTTAGTCATAAATGTCATCACTATGTGACAATCAGGGTATATCATTCATTATTTAACACCTACTGTTTCCCTTCTTTTTTTTTTTTTTTTTTTTTTTTTTTTTTTTTTTTTTTTTAGACAGGGTTTCTCTGTGTAGCTTTGCGCCTTTCCTGGGACTCACTTTGTAGACCAGGCTGGCCTCGAACTCACAGAGATCCGCCTGCCTCTGCCTCCCGAGTGCTGGGATTAAAGGCGTGCGCCACCACCGCCCGGCTTACTGTTTCCCTTCTAACACTAAGTTTACACATAATGAAGTAAGTGCACTAGTCTTAAGAACCCCGGTGAGTTTCCACAAGTGCTTATCTACATTTCATGAGGCCTGCCAAGTACAAAGCAGCACCATTACCCTGTAAGGTCTCCTCATGCCCCTTGCCCAGGCGATCCTTCTTTCCCATGGGCAACAATTGATCTGTTATTTGCCCCCTGACTATAAATTCTGGAACTCCAAATAAACAGAATTCCATTTGTTCTAGAATCTTGCATAGATGGAAAATGTACTAAATTCTTTCCCTGATTCAGTATAATATTTTAGAGATTTATCCATGTTTTTTTTTTTTTTTTAATTTTTTTTTGAGGGGGGTTGGTTGGCAGTAGAGACAGGGTTTCACTGCGCAGCTCTGCTGGCCTCAACTCAGAGATCTGCCTGCCTCTGCCTCCAGAGAGCTGGATTAAAGGCGTGCACCACCACGCCTGGCCTTTTCCACGTTCTTAAGCTCACCAGTAGGTCTTTTAAATTCTAGATGGTCTATGTTATGAATATTGTTTTAGACAGTTAACTAAGTACAGAAAGCATGGGTTCTAATTTTGTTTCATACCTTCATATTGACGTCAGCCCCATTGCTAACCAGGAGTTCTAAACACAGTGCTCCATGTGTGGATGCAGCAGCAAAGTGCAAAGGAGTGAATCCTTTCTCATTCTTCTGATTCACATTAGCACCACAGTCTATGAGTTCGTTTACAACAACGTCTTGTCCATTATAACAGGCCACATGAAGAGGTGTGTTTCCATAGGCATTGGGTTCATTCATCTATAGGAGAAAAAATGTGAATGTTAAGTAATTCTTCTATTACTACTGTAAGCTATTTTAAATTATCAGTTATGGAAAAAGGGATAAATAAAAGATAAGATTTATAATGTTAAAGTTGTCTTACAATAATAAACATAACAATAAGCAATTTAGTGTTAAATGGTTACATACATTTAGAGAATGTACTTCACACATATAATGTTAAATTCCTCCACAAGAGTTATTTTAAGAAAATAAAAACAGCTGGGTGGTGGTGGCGCATGCCTTTAATTCCAGTACTCGGGAGGCAGAGGCAGAGGCAGGCGGATCTCTGTGAGTTCCAGGCCAGCCTGGGCTACCAAGTGTGTTCCAGGAAAGGCGCAAAGCTACACAGAGAAACCTTGTCTCGAAAAACCAAAAAAAAAAA